TCTCTAAGTCTGCTTGCCCGATCATGGAAAAACTTATATGCAGATTTTGTTTTTACCCATTCACTTATTTATTGTGTGAAAGAGCACTCAATCTTTGCTACTGTGTTACATAGATATTTTTCATTGCTCATTTTTACTATAATTACATCTGTGTTTTAATTAACTCAGACACAGTATGGAGGAATTAGTACAAGATTGGAAGTCTTGAATTTTAATCACTCCTCTGACTACCACTGACTGGGGCCTGATCCAACACCCATTGAAGTGACATACTCCCAAGTAGAGATACCTGCATTGATTTCAGTGGATTTCATACTGGGCCCTTGCTGCTTTGCCCAGAGCAAGTCTTTTAGTACTTCTGTTTTCCAGTCTGCAAAATGGGGGCAATATTTACCTCAAAAAGGATGTTAATATTTGTGTGACATTTTTTTTGTACAAAGCCTTGGACCTGTAAAATGATACATAAGGGCTCTGTATAATAATTAGCATTCACTATTTGTCCTGTTAAAACTAGCAATAACATGAGACAGGATTTGTACCTCACTATGTTTTTATTCAATCACTTTTCGTTACAGAAGACTAAATTAGCATGAAGCCCACTCCTGTCTAATGTATGGAAAAGTGCATGCCTTTAACACACAAACAGCTACCAGAATACATGTCCAATAGGCATTACCTCACTTAAGATGTATTGATTTACATTTTTTTAAAAATCAGGAAAAGAAATTGATGACAAAACCTAATGAAGTCATGAAAAATTTAACAGATCACCAGTATCTGAATGAGAATTTCTAAGCCAGGTCTCCAATATATACTGTCTCCAAGATGGTCTATTGATGAATCTGCATTGTTACCTTCAAGTGCACTTTGACGTTTGCTATCCCCAGGAGTATTTTGTAGAGGATTAGTACAGGATAATCAAGCACCTTTCTCCCAGCCATAATATAGTTAGAAAGGAAGGCACTAAGGTACAAACATTCTGTAACTCCCATCACTAATAAAATATGCTCTGTAAATACATATTTACAGTCAGAAATTACTTCCGGTTTATTTCCTGTCATTACTCAAAAAGCATATTCACTTCAACGAGAGAAGAGTGTCAGGATCAGATCATAAGTGTATTACGAAAAATACTTTCTGTATTTAGATAGGAATAGACTCTAAAATATCTCAGCCTGAGTGCATGGGAGCAGGCGGGACTAGGAAGGGTGGCAAGTAGCAGCTGAAACACTAAAGCCTTATCATGGCTCAGGCATTTGGTAACTGAATCTAAATTTGGGCTAGAGAGTCAGTGGGTGTAAATTGCCACAGAAATCGATGGAGCTCACTGATCTGTTCCAGACTAAGAAGCAAAAGATGAGGCATCTATCACTGGGCTAACTACTTTTAGAAATATAAACCCAAATCTTGTCAACCAGCGGAAACTTTTTTGGGTCGGGGCCGCTGATCCACAGAAAAATCAGTTAGGGGCCACACACCAGTGAGAAGGAAAAAACATAACCAAACCCTCACTGACGTGGCCCTTGACTGAGAAGGAGAAAGACACTCCCTACGTTCCCTTCACACACCAGAGCTTAGGGGTGCCCAGGGGAGTAGATTTTGTGTGCCCCAGATCCATGGTGGGACAGCAGGCCGTGTTCCCTCTAAGCTGTGCTACTGCATAGCTTAGAGGGAACCGTGGTGAGTGGGTCTGGAGCATCAGTGCAGGCTCCCCAATGCTCGGGGGAAGTCCTGAGCCTCAGGGGCTGGATGCAGGCAAGACAGGGGCCACATCTGGTCCCCGGGCCTGAGGTTCCCCACCCCTGCTATAAACATTCACATGCCTAACTCTAAGTACATGAGTATTCCCACTGAAGTCAATGAGAGTACAATGAGATCAGTCAGGGCATATCTACACTAGGAAATTATTTCAAAAAACTAAATTTGAAATAATAACTCCTGAAATAATTATTTCGAAATAAGCTTTTCCCCCAGAAAAGCAGAAGTGCAGATTTTGAAATAACCAGCCTGTTATTTCAAAATAACAGGCTTGGTAGTGTGGATGCTCTTATTATTATTTCGAAATAAGAGGGGGAGGGGGTATTTCGAAATAACTCCCTAGTGTAGACCAGGGCTCACGTACTTACAGATAACCACCAGCATAAATGTTTGCAGGAGCTATCAATTGAAGAAGTAGGCCGCCTGCTCAGGAAATGTTTTAGAAAGATTCGCACTCAACTCTACAGTAACATTCATTTCATTTCATGGGCGGTAGATATCAGAGGTACGGGGAGGCTAGCCCTCCCCAAACAGACAAGTATGGCCTGCCCGCATTACGCCCTCCCCCCCAGTCCTTCTACTGTTTCTGGAGCGCTCCCCCTTTGTGGCTGGCTGCCTGGCCTCTCCACACTCTGGAACCAGGAAGGCTGGGGTCATATTGCCCTGCAATATCACAGTCCTATGTCAGGGGGGTTGGGGCCACATAGCCTGAACCCCCCCAATGCTCTAACACTGGGGAGGACCAGGACCTGGAACACTGGTTGTGCTGCCCAACTCCCTGGCACTCTAGGGGATGTGCTAGCCTATAGGAGCCAGCAGCCACAAAGTGGGAGGGGGCTGGGCTCTGGTGAGCATGGAAGGATGGAAGAAGCTGGGAGATTGTCCTCCCCAAGCCAGCAGTTCACCCACTGCCCAGGATTTCAGTGCTTTTGAGCCATGATGGACTCCACACACTGTAGAAAAAGGTAGGCCAATAACTGGAATATTTTAACTATTCAGATTTACAAATTCAACAGTCACATAATTTGGAAGCAGTGGAATAGCCGTGTTACCCTGTACATCTTGCTCACATGTTAGCAAAGTGACTCTGTGTTTAATAAAAAAAATATTCCAGGATCTTTTTAACACTCTTATTATGAAAAGCTATAAATAAACATCTATGTCCCAATAATGTCTCTGGAGACTTTAGTACTGTACGTTCTTTTCCGTTTCTTTTCCAAAGACTTCTTTCGGCCTTTGGTCTTGTGACCCAGACCATGGAAAAAATTTATTGACTCTTGCACAGGAGTGCCCCTCTTCGTGAACAATCTGAGTAAAATCTTGATCCCAGTGAGGTCTGTGACACACTTTCTGGGACTCTACTGGGGCCTGGACCTCTCCCTATAAAATGAAGACTCTGGATTTCATGGAGCCTGCCGGATAATAGGGGAAGGAAAGCTATGGTTCTCCTCAGGAACTGGCAGAGATTTATTCATAATTTCTACTGTAAATTAATGTTTCTTGGGAATGTTGACTTCAAATACATGCATGCACATACACACACGTGCACACACGCATGTGCTTGCTCACACACATGCACACACATGCACATGTTGCCAGGGCATGGGGCCAACGAGCTATACAGTGGACTGCATGGGTCTTCATACAGATGTCCCAGAATCAGTGAAGATGAAACTCATTTCCACATACACAATGCAGGCCTCCACCAACCTTGCTCCTAGTATGACTGGTGACTTTGTCCCACCTGCATTCTCCAGGAGACAATGGAAGGGATCTTTGCTAGTTAAAGCTCAGAACCTGAACTGAATATTTTTCCCTTCTGTGAATTTTGCATGGATAGCTTGGCTCATTGTCCAATTCTGCAGACTAAGAGAAATAACGTTCTGTCCATCCTCTCCTCTGCCATATCCAAAAATCACCCATACATCTAGACCCTAGTGTTCTTGCAAAGGAATCAATTTCTCCTTCGGCTGTGCTGCTTGTACACTGTGCAGGGGAGCTTGAAACAGCAAGTAGTGGTCCCAGGCCTCCGCTACCTAGAGTATTGGCCTAGAGTATTGTGGAAATCCTGTTTGTATCGTCATATCTCTGTGTGCCTGCCGACTCCGATGAATCAGAATTTTAAGCACTCAGGGAGATGTATGGTTTGTGATAACCCAGCTGTACTGAAAGGAGCTAGGGGTGGAGTGGGGCAAGCAGGGGTCTCCTCAGAGCTATTGTCTGCAGAAGCAGTGAGAAAGCCTGCCTATATGATTTCTTTCTTTCAGTCGCAGCACAAACGCAAGGACAGCAGGGGGGCCTTCTGTCTGATCAAGATGAGGTTTTGTAAGTGAGGAAATTTGGCTAACGTGAGCAGGAAGACACTATTGTTGAACAAAAAGAGAAGAGATCCACACGTCTGAGCAAAAAAGTGGGTATACTAGGGTTTTGGAAATGCAGCACAACATGGTCACCACAATATGGCTGCAATTTCTCTGCAAAATACAAGAAACAGCTATCACTGGACCCTCCCGAGGCCTCCAGACACACTAAGAGGAAGTCAAAAAGAACAAAGAAAAGAAGCAATTACAAACAATAAGCACTTTGTTATGCTATTTTCTGGAGCCAGTATATTGCTGCCATTGATTTTGTTAAGCAAAACTTTCCATTAATTTCAACTGAGATTTCTGCTTAATAAGGCTTGGCATAATAGGACCAGAGTTATCATCTGTTAAAAAGGTATTGTTGTAACTAGACTGATTTTAAAATGGGATTTTTTCCTCCCCTATGGTTGGGTTACTAGCACCAAATGCAATAACCTGATGTCAGACAGTGTTTAGGGGCCAGAAGACATTGAGCCACAATAATGATTGCAAACACAAATACAAGGGGAAATTCCTTTCACCTCAACATGAAGAGGAACCATACATTGCAATTTCACCTTCCCCCCTTCCATCTTTACGTTAGGTCCACAAAGATAGAATCCCCTTGTGTTTTTTTCTTCTTCTACATATTCCCCCCCCTTCTTGTGGGGCGGAGGGAGGATGCCTGTTATGTCCTAGCAGCTACACAGGCCTTTCCCTGTGCTTATATGACTTTAGTATGATTCTTACCCACAGAATTCCCTAACATTCTTTTCAGGAACAGCTGTCTACAGAAATCATGCTTTCCAAAGGGGGCCTATTTGCAGACTTTTGCATTTTTAGTATGGTATAAATAATAATGATGATAATAATAATTGATAATATTTAAGGAAGTAAGGGACTGGGAGTGGAGTAAAAGGGTTAAGATGACGACGATGACATCACTAGCATTTGCATAGAAGTGAGGATATAACTGCTCAAGCAGAGCAAGCGCTTTATACAGTCCAGAGCAGCAGCTGCAAAGATCAGAGTTACGTCTGTGTACAGCGTCAGTGGTGAGGATACAATTTATATTTCAACTATGGTCTTTCCTCTCTCCCCTTTTATTAGCATGCGTTTCTCCGTGTCTGTGCTCATGAGTGTGGATTTGTATCCCGGGTCATTCTTCAACACCCTTTGCTTTTGTTGCTAAATTTCAGGCTGGAACAATCCTGTTGCTTTCAAGGGCACTCAAGAGATTTTAAGTGTGAGCTAGTGCTTCAGTCTAGTGGTGTAAAGTTGGACAGATTGAGCGCAAATGTGAAATGCGAGCCCGAGTAAAGAAAGCGGGAAGCTCCCTCGATTTCCTTTGTTCTGGCTTGACAAAAAGAAGCTGGCATCTCTTTCGTTACTAATTGATTATTTCGTATCTCCGAGCCAACAACAGGCGACTTTTGTTGTTGTTCTACGTGTTCCAACCCTTCAGCTGAGAAGGGAATCTTACTACGAGCAGATGTGTGCTAAAAAAATCTCCTACTCCCAATCCTGGGAAGGGAGAGCAAGGGGGAGGCTGTATGATTGAAACGTTTAGCTGCTGAAAACGGGGTGTGTGAGCTACACGCAAATCTTTGTTTCAGTCCAGGCAGCGCTGTATCTGCGACTGCAGTGCTGAGAAGGAGAGAGGCAGCAAACAGCAACTGGGCGGTGGTTTGGGCTTCCTCAGACTGCAGCTGCAGCAGTTCTTTGTGAGGGGAAAAGAATGCGGGACTGCATCCAAATGGGCTAAGGAGAGACAGAGCAGACAGACAGACACCAAGATGGAGGATGTGATTAGCATAGTCTAGCTGTTCTGCTTGGCACTGGCATTATTTCATATTTTCAATGGGCATCTCAAATCTTTTTTTTTTTTAAAGACAATAGCCTCCCCCATGCACCATCCTCTCTATTGTTCTCTTCAGAACAGCGTGCAAACACTGAAGAGGCTTTTTTTTTCTTTTTAAAGAAAGCAATCTCAACAATAGGCAATTGTTTTTGATAATGGATTAAATCTTCACTGTATTTTCTGCATTGATTTTTTTTTTTTTTGTTTCCACTCCTTAATCAGCCTTGTGCAAATCTAGCTATATCATTTCACCCCACTGTAAGGGGACAATTTTTATTTCACTGACTATAGCTCTCCTTACAAGAAAGAGGCTATTACGTGCCATTTAAAGAGAGAAGGGAGGCGGGGCAGCTGGCTGGAGATCAAGCGAGTAACGCATTTCAGAATAAAAGGTGGAGTCTTAACTGTCTTTCCCTTCCACCTACAGATTAATCTGCAAAAATGTCCGACAAACCAGATATGGCTGAAATTGAGAAGTTTGACAAGTCTAAATTGAAGAAAACAGAAACGCAAGAGAAAAACCCACTGCCTTCAAAAGAAAGTAAGTGTATATACAGTTTTAAGAGGGCAAGGCAAAAATTCTTCCCCTCTATTAAGACTGGTAGACATTATATACACATACATTATATTAAATGTATGATTACTCTGTATATAATATACATTTTATATGAACCACTGCAAGTGTAACATAGTAAATTTTACAATTATTATAATTTTCTACCAGATTATAAATCTAGCTTACCTTTTGATTTCTATGTTCCATAAAAATTTAACTTTTTTTTAAAAAGTACAGTACTTCATCTTTATTTTTAAATCTTTCTTTTTTTTTCCTCTTTCAGCAATTGAACAGGAGAAGCAAGCGGGTGAATCGTAATGAAATCTGCCCTTCCAAATTATGCACTGTACATTCCACAAGCATTGCCTTCTTATTTTACTTCTTTTAGCTGTTAACTTTGTAAGATGCAAAGAGGTTGGATAAAGTTTAAATGACTGTACTGCCCCTGTCACATCAAAAGAATAGAGAGAACTACTGACACTGAATGAAGGCGCTGCCTTTCCATCTATCTGCCTGTCTGGGTTTGGTCTTGGTGGCATGAAAGAGCTTGCATGTTGATGAAAGAAGAACTTGGGTGGGACTACAGTAAACTAGTAACACACGAATAAATGCAAAGCTGTACCAAGGTCCTGCGAGCTGTAAAATGCAGTTAATTGAGTGCCATTTTTTTTGTTCAAATGATTTTAATTATTGGAATGCACAATTTTTTTAATATGCAAATAAAATGTTTTAAAACCTGGATGGTATTGATGTGGTGCTATATCTTGGACAATGGAGAGTGGCTGTGTTAATATGTGGGATGTAAGGAGACATTGTGATATTTAAAGTTTTTGGCTCTTGACGTGCTCCTTGCCATGAGCCCTACAACATTTAAAAAAGATTTCTTTCATATTTATATGCATCTCAGATTACTCTCCCTTCCTCTAAATATGCTTTATTAATCTAATGATGATTTTTCAAGTCTGAGATTATCAGATTTTTTTCCTGCCTTTTAAACATTTCCTCTTGCAGAAACCATTCAGTAATAGGCTGACTCTGAAAAGTATTAAAATAGCCACAATGGTAGCAACACTTCTATGTTGGCCACTTATTCTTTCGTTATGCCAAAAGTAAAGCTATTAATGATTTGTTTAACAGGGTATTTTGGGCAAATAAATTCAGAATTATAGGATTTTTGGATCTGTTCACAGCTCCACTTGGAAATGTCTTTCATATTTGTCACTTATGATGATCTGACCTAGAATCTTGTTTGTGAAAAAATATATTTTGTCACTGGAATGAAGTGGGAGCAGATGTAGTTTAAAAATAATTGGGGAGGGTGGGAAATCAATATTAATTTAAATGTTTTAAACTTCTAAATGGCAGTCATGTGCCATTTTCACAGCTTTTCACAAAGTTCATACTCATTCAGCTTTACTTGCATTTCTGGTGTCATCCTAACTTGAAAGGAAAATGAACTTCCATTAGATGAGATTCTGAACCCATTAGATTTCGTCAATTTTTTTTCTTCAGGATTTCATGATTTAGCATATAGCAGCCTGGAATGATGCGTGTGATGGGGATATCAATTTTTTTTCTTCGGGATTTCATGGTTTAGCATATAACAGCCTGGAATGATGCGTGTGATGGGGATGGGCTGTGAAGATCACTAGTATCTTAGTGTATTTGGTATGTGAAAGACTTGGTCCTGCACTTCTTTTGATGCAGAATCAGCTGTAGCCATGGGACTCAACTGCAATGGAGACAAATTCACCCCTGGGGTAACTCCACTGATTTCACTGGGACTCT